GGTACTGCATGAGACCTAGCAAGCGACGAAATTGCGTAGCACCCGTCGCATGATCAGGTGACTGCAGAGGTATTAACTTTTCTGAAACAGCCAGTGGTGTTGAAACATCCTTTTGCACCATCCATTTTGAACTACGTGAGTATATCAGTTATATACTGGCTTTGTGACAGGAACACACCATCACCAATGGAGATGACCTCGATACCCAAGAAATGGTGGAGTGTACCGAGATCCTTTAGAGCAAACTGGGATGATAGAGTTTCCACAAAACAATCAAGCCATGTGACATTATTGCCTGTTAACAAAATGTCATCTACGTAGACTAAGAAATAAACAATCACACCATCAGTTGAATAAATGAACAGTGAAGCATCTGCTTGTGACTTAGTGAACCCACAACGCTGCAAAAACAACAAGAGTTCCTGGTACCAGGCTCTGGGAGTAGGCGTGTGCATCAGACGGGTTCGGACGGTTCGGATTTTAGAACTGCCCACCCATTCAGATTTCGGATTCCAAATTTTGTATCATATCCGATTAAATTTATTAAGTAATCCATTCGGTTTTAGTTGTTTGGGTTCGGACGGATTTTATCGAATTTCGGTTAAGTTCGGATTTCAAAAACATTATATATATATATATATATATATATATATATATATATATATATATATATATATATATATATATATATATATATATATATATATATATATATAAAAGCTAATTTAAGATCAATTGTTCAAGTGTTCAACCTTACAAAAGGCGGTGAACTTAACTAAGTTACAATTTACAAAGCTACAAATTGCAAAATTAGATTACAAGTGCCAAACTCCAAATAAAAAGTTACATCACATATTCACAGTTTACCAAAAAAAAAAAAAAAAAAAAACAGAAATTACATCAATCACTCCAACCAGCAACAGTTCAGCACTCAAAAGTAATCAACTCAGTAACTAACACTCAACATCTTCCTGCTCATATTAAAAATCATTAGCCAAAGTATAAAACTACAAAGTAATTAAGCTCAAAGAGAAGTTAAATAAAGGAACTACATTTGTGCTGAGGGAGAAAAAAATGTTCAAATTGCTATTTTTCATATTAAGGTAAGATTAGGGGGAAAATTGCTACTTGAGTTTTGCAATTAAACTCAGAGCAACATACCAACCCTAAAGTCCTTTGATTCAAACAAATGGTGGAAGCATCATCATAGCCATAAACTTCACCAAAAATCATCATAACCATAAAAAAAAACACTGAAGTTAGTATAATAATCATTAGTAATTTAGTATTCAGTAAAACAAAACAGTTAAGCTTTAAATGAGTAAGGGAGAGTAATATACCAGAAATCAATGGACAGATCAGATTGTGATTCACACTTACAATGCCTATCTCCATGTTCCCCTTCAGTAAGACAGTAAACAAATGTCCACATAAAGCATAAACAATTATACAGATTACAGATTAGAGTAGATTACAAATTAAAGCAGCTTAGGCTTCCACCATAAAATTCAAAATAAAGGCATAAGCAGACATACAGATTACATAGTAAACCAGCTTAAGCTCCCAGCCTCTCACCATGAAATTCATAATCAGATTTGAATCATCAAATCATCACCTATATGGAATTGTCCAAAATTTAGGGCTCATAGTCTCATACAATCAACAATCATATATTAGAATTTTGTAAAATTAATCATATATCTGGAAAACCCCAAAAATTAGGGCTTAGTTTGAGTCAATGGCTAATGTACAAATTAGGGCACAAATGCACAATACTCATGCAACAGACAGTCATACATAGAAGTGGGAAAACCCCAAAAATTAGTGCTCACATATTACATATTCATCATAGAAATTACATTTCTGCAGATTAACAGAACACATCAACGATTAAACACAGAAACAATATTAAAAAAAAAGAAAAAAAAAAGAAAAAAAAAAGAAGAGAGAACTGAGATGGAACGATTTACTTGTTTTCTCCCTATATTTCCTGGAGAACTAGGGCTAACTAGGGCTTCAAGCAAAGGCTTCCATTAGGACCACCACCGGCACCACAGGTCCACGGGTATGAATACGGAATACCTCCAACTCTCCAAGGGTCAAGCTACCTGGCTTCCACCACAGGTCGACACTCCACATCACCATTGTCGTCCGACGTCAAATAAACTCTGAGAGACTCAGAGACAGAGACATAGAGGGAATGAGAGATCAGAGATCTTAGTATCTATCTAAGAGACGTAGATTAGAGAACTCAGAGAGACGGAGAGTGAGAGATTAGAGAACTCAGAGAGACAGAGAGTGAGAGAAGTTCTAGAGAAGTCACGACTACGCAGCTGCGCTCTCACTCCTCTCAAGCGTAAGGAGAAATGGGAAATGGCAAACCTAGGGTTTCTTAACATATATATATATATATATATATATATATATATATATATATATATATATATATATATATAATATTTCAGATATTCGGGCGGGTCGGGGGGGCAAATCTCAAACCTTACCCGAATTATATATAACCGTATAAGTAGTCTATCGGTTCGGGTTTAGCCTTTCGGGTTCGGATATCCTCCCCAGCTCTATTATCGGATTTCGGGGCGGGCAGGTTCATCAGGTTAGCACAGCCCTATCTGGGAGCCTGTTTAAGGCCATACATAGCTTTAGTTAACCTGCAAACATGAATAGGGTATAAGGGATTAACATATCTGGTCGGCTGCTCCATATATACTTTATCATGCAGTGTGTCATGCAGGAAAGCATTATTGATATCCAATTGGCGCAAACTCCAGCGGTTACTTAATAGGGAAGTTGGACGGAGCATTTTGCTGGATAACATCATTGCTAGTTGCAGCAGATCAGATTGGGAAGCAATCTGTGTCACAAAGGTGGCGAAAAAGAAAGGGAAAAAAATGAATAATTCTCTTAGGAGATTGTGGCTCTTGATACCATGTGAGGGAATGAGCAATATGTTTATTGATGTAAAACAGATAGCTATAAATAGTACACAAGTGAGAGTAGATAGCAGGGAGTTACAACTATGTACTAGTCTAATAAAGCTATTCTACATGAGTATAATTAGAACAGAGATAGACTGAGTCAACCACTTATATCCTTAACAGGTAGACCCCGCCGCCGGCGAAGACGATAACACCCTTGACAGTGAGCTTGCCCCTTCCTCCTTAGCTTCCATTGCTCCCATCCTCCGTGTGGCCAACGAAATCGAGAAAGAAAATAGAAGAGTTGCTTATTTATGTAAGTATAATTTCTTTTTGTATTTCAATTGCTCAAATCAACCGGTATCCTTTACTCTCTGTGTATGAAAGTAAAGCTGGTGATTATATGTCTAATAACTACAAATGCTCAAGTCTTTCATGTGGCTTGTAATTTTAGATCAAAATTTATAACTCTTTATAATCTACATCAAAATTTGAATTTTCATTGCAAAATTTAGAAAATTCCCAAGTTCGACAATTGGATAAAAGAGAAACTGAAAGTTTTTGACTTGAATTGTAATTAGTCACAGGTTTTACTTTTCCCAGAACACCATTTCTTATTTGTCTTAACTACCCTTTTCTTGAACTATGCTACAAGAATTTGCATTTGACCTGTTGGTACTTTGAAAGACATGGTATTTGATATAAAATTCGGAAAGCAATTAAATGAGAATTTACCGTGATGAGATTAATTTGGATTACTGTTAACTTGTTTGTTAACAATAATTTAAATAATGTGTCACTTTAGGTGGATGGAGTGGTTTTTTAATGTTAAGGATATTCTTTTCTTCTTTAACTCAATTTTTGTTTCTGAAAAAGGCCGATTTCATGCATTTGAGAAGACTCGTAGGATGGATCCAACAGCAAGCGGACATGGTGTTCGTCAGTTTAAGACTTACCTGATACAAAGACTTGAAAAGGTATACCGATTATGTTCAATTTTATGTTTGTCTCTTTATGCATCAATTATGTTCTTTATTTGTATATATTTTCCATTTTCTGCTCTATAAATTCCATATATTTTAAATTTCTTAACTAATTTAATGGCAACATCTGATTATGTTGTTTCAAAATTACTAAATCATCCCAGATTACCACAATCATTATGTGATGAGTGCAAATTGGGATCTCGAGAGACCATCTGCCCTCACTTATTGTTACTCTGTGAATAGCAAAAGGCCTTATCTGCCTTAGATAGTATAATCCAATAGGTTCTAAGCTGCTGATGTTTGAGTATTTATAAATTAAAATGTATATTCATTATTCAATAATGTACAAAATCTGTGGTTAAAGTATATATCATGTTTGTACACCAATAGTAAAAATAAAAATTGGCAAGTGTCACTCAAACTAGTGGGATGATACTAAAAGTAGAGGACCTTGCTCTCTTGTGTGTTTGAAAGCCTTGGTGGAACTTGTCAGTCATTGCCTGTCATCCCAAATCAATCTACTGTAAATATTCTTCAGCATAATTAAATTCCTTATTGTGTCTGTGGTCCACTGATTTGAATGCTGGATACATATCTGATATCTGAATATCTAATAGCTATCTAGTAAGCTCCTTCTAACCATGTTTGACAATTTATTTTTGTAGGAAGAAGAAGAGACAAAACCCGTGCTTACAAAAACTGATCCTAGAGAAATTCAAAAATTTTACCAGAATTTCTATGAGAAAAATATCAGAGATGGCAAACAAACAAAAAAATCGTGAGGCTTGCTTAGAATTTATTTTGCAGCTTTGTCTCTCATTCTAATCTAATTTCCTAGATTTTTTTTTATTTAAAAAATTCTTGACTTTCTATTGCAGAGAAGAGATGTTTAAGATATATCAAATTGCAAGTGTGTTGTATGATGTGCTAAGATTAATAGTGCCACCTTCAAAAGTGGATGAACAGGTTTGATCTATTTACTTTGCAATCTTTTGGATATATTCCACCTATGAGTTAGGTGAACTCCGTACTTATTTTTGCATCATACTTGTAGACACTAAGGTATGCCAAATATGTAGATGAGAAAAGAGAATACTATGAGGACAATAACATTCTCCATACTGTTGGAGTTAAACCTGTGATAATGGAACTTTCTGAGGTAATTTGTAGTTGGAGTGTAAGTATACTTGTTTGAATATGTTGCTCAAATTGTGCATGAATACCACTCATCCATGAGACATTTTCTTTCTCCACGTTGCCTGACTTCTTACATGTTCTTGTAAAAATAGTTGTTGCTCCTCCAACATGCCGCATTTCTCTTTAAATTTGATTGTATAATTCTCTTGGGAGATTGTGACTCTTGATACCATGTGAGGGAATGAACAATATGTTTATTGTTGTAAAACAGCTAACTATAAATAGTATACAAGTGAACGTAGATAGTAGGGAGTTATAACTACTAGTTTAATGAAGCTATTCTACAGGAGTATATAATTAGAACAGACATAGACTGAGTCAACCACTTATATCCTTAACATGCCCCCGCAAGATTGAGGATCCGTCGGAAACTACAATCTTTGACCGAAAATGAAGGAAAAGTTGACGTCCCAGTGGCTTGGTGAGGAGATCGACTAACTAAGCGGAGGATGGATATGTTGAACAACTAGCAGACCACTAGTTACTAGATCCCGTACAAAAAGTTGTCCAAAGCCAAGTGTTTCATACGTGAGGGAAACACTGGATTTTTACAGACGTACGTGGCACTGAGGTTATCACAAAGTAGAACCGGGGGCTGTACTAGACTCAACTTGAGCTCTTGGAGCAATTTTTAATTTGGAGGACCTTAGCAGCTGCATTAGCCAAGGCCCGGTACTCAGCTTCTGTTGACGAACAAGAAATAGACTTCTACCGTGAGGACTTCCAAGAAATGAGGTTGTCGCCTAGATACACCAAGTATGTCGTAGTCGAGCGTCCAGCAGTGTTGCATCCGCCCAAATCGGAGTCGGTATATACACACAACCTCAAAGCTTGTCCAACGCGAAGGAGTAGGCCGTGACAAACAGTCCCTTTGAGATAGCGAAGCAGACGTTTAGCAGCTTGCCAATGTAGCTCCGAAAGCGCATGCATGAACTATGACAGTCGATTGACCGCAAACACCACATCTATCCGAGTGGTCACAAGGTACTGCATGAGACCTAGCAAACGGCGAAATTGCATAGCATCTGTCGCAGGATAAGGTGACTGCAGAGGTACTAACTTGGTGTTGAAACACCCTTTGCACCATCCATTTTGAATTGCATGAGTATGTCAGTTATATACTGGCTTTGTGACAGGAACATACCATCCCCAGTGGAGATGACCTCGACACCCAAGAAATGGTGGAGCGTACCGAGATCCTTCAGAGCAAACTGGGCTGATAGAGTTTCCATAAAACGATTAAGCCATGTGACATTATTGCCTGTTATCAAAATGTCATTTACGTAGACTAAGAAATAAACAATCACACCATGAGATGAATAAATGAACAATGAAACATCTGCTTGGGACTTAGTGAACCCACAACGCTGCAAAAACAACGAGAGTTCCTGGTACCAGGCTATAGGAGTCTGTTTAAGGCCATACATAGCTTTAGTTAACATGCAAACATGATTAGGGTATAAGGGATCAACGTATCTGGGCGGCTGCTCCATATATACTTTCTCATGCAGTGTGTCATGCAGGAAAACGTTATTGATATCCAATTCGCGCAAACTCCAGTGGTTACTTAATGCAATGGTCAAGACCAACTGGATAGTGATCGGTTTCATAATCGGGCTATATGTTTCGAAGTAATCCCGCCCAGTTATAAGTAAGAACCCTTTGGCCACAAGTCGTGCCTTGTAACGATCAACTGGGCCATCTGATTTGCGCTTCACCCGGTAAACCCATTTACAGCCAATTTGAACACCATCACCACGTGAGACAAGCGGCCACGTATTGTTGTGGTGCAAAGCTTCGAACTCCTTGTCCTTGGCTTTCCTCCACCTAGCGTCTTTGAGGGCCTGAGCGACGGTAGCGGGTTCTAAGGTCGGGGGAAAGGGTTGGGATGTGGTGAAGTTGACAAATTAATCAGAGTACCTGGGATTAGGGCGATGAGACCTGGTAGACCGGCGCAAACCAGCTTGCTGTTGAAGAGATTCAGAGGAAGACACTGGTTGAGAAACTTCATAGGTGGCGAGTGGACGAGAAGTCGAGGGTTCATCGTGCGGGTGAACGTTGGTAGTAACAGGAGGGGACGAATGACTTGGAGGAGACGGTGGCTGTGACAAAGCCGGAGAGGAATGTTGACCGACGGCCACACTGAGTTCGCCGGACTGCCCAGACGTCGAGGCAGGTTGCGGCGTCGAAAGTCCTGGCGAAACTGAAGCGGACGGCGGCAAAACTGAGGCGGGTGGTGAGGAAGAAGAGGGCGATTCTAAAGACATCGACTCAAGAGAGGATACCGGTGACTTGAATAGAATTTGTGGCAAGTGAGGAGATTGAACCCCAGAAGTCATATCTGACTTAATCTGTAACTCCCTGGCAGGAAACACATGAGAAACAAAGCGTACATGTCTTGATAAATATACCCGATTCGATACATAATCGAGGCATTTATAAGTTGATTGTGTAGTTGGATATCCCAGAAAAATACACGGGCGCGACCTTGGTTGTAGGTTTTTTTTTTTTTGTATTATAGGGACGTAACCAGGGGAAACACAAACAACCAAAGGGTTGTAGCTTATCATAATTTGGTAACTGGTTAAACAAAACATGATAGGGAGATTTATAACCTAAAACTGGTGTCAGGAGCTGATTAATGAGATAGGCTACTGTTTGAAAGACATAAGACCAATATGAAGACGACACAGAGGCAGCATGAAGAATGGACATACCAGTTTCGACCACATGCCTGTGTCGTCGTTCAGCCATGCCATTATGTTCGGAAGTATGAGGGGGAGTAGTAAAATGTGAAATACCAAGAATGTTAAACATCGGTATTAATTTAACAAACTCCCCTCCATTATCAGAATAAACAGAGATAATTGACAGATTGAAGAACTTTTCTACTAACCTTTTGAACTGGGGAAATACGTCAAACACATCAGACTTGCGTTTTAAGGGATATAACCAGATATATCGAGAAAAATGATCGACAAAAATTACATAATAAGCAAACCCATCAATCAATTTTTCGGAAGTACCCCATACATCAATGTAGATTGATTGGAGAGGCCTAGAACTAACAACAGTGCTTTTTGAGAAGGGTAACTTGTAACTCTTGTATACATTGTACGAATGACAGTAAAATTTATTTAACAAGGACAGTGGAATGGGAACATTGCAGTGTTGCAACACCAGATGTAACACCTTACTGGACGGATGGCCAAGACGATGGTGCCACTGCAACAATTCTGTGGAATTTATTGTAGGCTGACTCGAGTGGGGTCCATAGTAGACACCATTAATGGTCGCCCCCCGTAGAAGTGACATCCCCGTTCGTAGATCCTCCACGACAAAATAGGAGTAAAAAATTCGACCGACACGTGATTAGTTTTGCACAACTGAGACCCAGATAATAAATTATTATTCAATTGCGGGACACGCAGGACATTTTGGAGAGTGAGAACAGAAGAGGGAGTGGGAATAGCAGACTGGCCAACATGAGAGATTTTTAGTGAATTACCGTCACCCAGGCGTATTTCATCGGGACCCTTGTACTCAGAGAAGGTCTGAAGAGGAGCCATGTTCGGGGTGGTATGATGAAACACCCCACTGTCAAATAACCACGGTGAAGTCGTACCTATGGTTGAATTGGTTGTAGGAGACGAAGTGGACAGAGTTGCCTGCATGGAAAAAACATTATGATCCTTTAAGAACTGGGCTAACTTATGGCAGACACGGGTTTCATGGCCAGCAAAGTTACAGAATCGGCACACAACATTGGTTCGATTGTTGCCATTTTGCGTTTGAGTTTTCCGGTTAGCATTATTGTTGGTGTAAAACCTCCGGTTGGTTGTAAATTGATGAGAATTCAATGAATCCCAAGAGCTGCGTTCAGCGGTATTGGCAGTAGCCAACAGGGACTGACGAACATCATCGGCTTCCATCAAATGACGTTCATGATCCATGAGAATATCGACTAATTCACCCAAAGAGATGGGCGTGTCACGGACACGAACAGCAGAAACGATGGAGCTGTACTCGTCTCCTAGCTGCGTTAAAACATAAACAACTATGTCTTCATCCAAAATTGGGCACTGAGCCAATGCGAGATCATCGGCTATAGACTGCATATCAGTCAGGAAAGCGGCAACCGACCGATCACCTTTCGGGTTTTTGGTGAGCTTAGCCTTGAAGGAAATGATCCGTCCTCGAGAGGCACTAACATAACTACCAACGAGCCGTTGCCAGGCATCATACGCTGTTGGTGCGGAAGAGATAAGAGGCTGAATTGTGTCAGAGCAACTCCCCAGTAGAGCATTAGTGATGATCTGGTCTTGATGAAACCAAGTCAAGTGTGCATGATTTGGGGTGGACTGTTCAGCACCGCCAAATTTGGCTGATTCTTAAACAGAACCGGTCGATGTAGCCAAAGAGATTGAAGCCAATTAATGTCGCCTGGACTTGGCATTTCCAAATAGGGAAATTAGTGGGGTAAGTTTAATAGGGAAGTCGGACGGAGCATTTCGCTGGATAACATCATTGCTGATTGCAGCAGATTGGATTGGGAAGCCATCTGTGTCACAAAGGTGGCGAAAAAGAAAGGGGAAAAAATGAATAATTCTAGTCTAATAAAGCTATTCTACAGAGGAGTATAATTAGAACAAAGATATACGGAGTCAACCACTTATATCCTTAACAGGTAGACCCCGCCGCCGGCGAAGATGGGAACACACTTGATAATGAGCTCATCCCTTCCTCCTTGGCTTCCATTGCTCCCATCCTCCGTGTGGCCAACGAAATCGAGAAAGAAAATAGAAGAGTTGCTTATTTATGTAAGTATCATTTCTTTTTGTATTTCAATTTCTCAAATCAACCGTTATCCTTTACTCTCTGTGTATGCTAGTAAAACTGGTGATTATGTGTAATACCTGCAAAGGCTCAAGTCTTTCAAGTGGCTTGTAATTTTAGATCAAACTTTTTAACTTTTTATAATCTGCATCAAAATTTGAATTTTCATTGCAAAATTTAGCCAATTACCAAGTTTGGCAATGGGATAAAAGAGAAACTGAAAGTTTTTGACTTGAATTGTAATTAGTCACATGTTTTGCTTTCCCAAAATACCATTTCTTATTTGTCTTAACTACCTTTTTCTTGAACTATGCTAGAAGAATTTGAATTTGCCCTGTTGGCACTTTGAAAGACATGGTATTTGATAAAAAAATTTGGAGAGCAATTAAATGAGAATTTACCGTGATGAGATTAATTTGGATAGTTGATGAATAAGAAAAAATAAATAAAATAATAGTTTAACTTGTTTGTTAACAATAATTTAAATAATGTGTCACTTTCACTTCTTCACAAGTGAGTTTAGGTGGATGGAGTGGTTTTTTTTTTTTTTTTTTTTTTTTAAATTTTATGGATATTCTTTTCTTCTTTAACAGAATTTTTATTTATGAAAAGGCCGATTTCATGCATATGAGATGGCTCATAGGATGGATCCAACATCAAGCGGACGTGGTGTTCGTAAGTTCAAGACTTACCTGCTACATAGACTTGAAAGGGTATACCCATTATGTTAAATTTTATGTTTGTCTCTTTATACATCTATTATGTTCTTTATTTGTATATATTTTCCATTTTCTGCTCTACAAATTCCATATATTTTAAATTTCTTAACTAATTTAATGGCTAAATCTGATTATGTTGTCTCAAAATTACTAAATCATCCTAGATTACCACAATCTGTTGGAAAAATAGCATTAAAATGGCATAAAATGACATGTTAAGTGGCTATTTTGTGGTACAATTATCAGTGGGGTCCACTTCCGATCAAATTCCAACTAGAAACGAGATCAAAAGGCTTGATTCAAGCCCGAGCTCGTGTGCGCCGGCACCTGCGGGCACGAATGTCGTCCGAAAATTGGTTGGCCTTGCGGGCATAAGTTATGCCAACTTTCGGTATCAGTTTTCCCAACTCTAAGCCACTTGACAGCTAGGTGGCCGAGAGCAACACGAGAGTTGCTCTCGTGCTCACCCAGCCGAGTTTTCCCAACTCTAAGCCACTTGACAGCTAGGTGGCCGAGAGTAACACGAGAGTTGCTCTCGTGCTCACCTAGCCGAGAGCAACACGAGAGTTGCTATCATGCTCACCTGGCCGAGAGCAACTCGAGAGTTGCTCCCGTGCGCAGCGCGAGGTTGAAACTTCAGTCTACCAGATACGTCTCTGGACAGTTGGAGATTTAATTCATCCGTTACAGAATTAATTTCTGTATTTGATTTTTGAATTAAATCTGCACTAAAGACCAGCTGTTTCAGATGTTACAAGGCTTGTGTTAATGGCCTAGTTAAATGCTATTTGATGTCCTACGTCCCTATATAAGAAGGAGGGTAGCAGCAGTATTTCTACACGGGAGAACAACACACACAACACAGAAAATTCTGTTTTTCCCAGCTCCAAAACTCTGCTCCTACACCTTTCTTGCTACTGTGTTTTGCCCGTGCTCTAGTTTGCCGGGTTCGTTCGTTTGGGTGCTCAAACGTCGAACCGTTGTACGTTTTATCCTGGGAAACCTAGGCCACAACGCTCCTAGCACTTTTGGGAGGTGGCAAATAAGGTTTCTTTGCCTAACTCATACATTTCTTTCTTTCTTCTCCTTCTTTCTTGGTTTGGATTATGCTTTTAAGCAAAAATCCGCTCTTTCTTGTTAAATTGGAATTATAATCTAAGGATTATATTTTCTTTTTGGTTGATATATATTGGTATATCTTAATTGTAGATATACATGTATATATAACCATTGGGTCCGTTTTATATATATTTGTGTGTATATATATATATATTTCGGATATATATATCCAATAATATTATATATATATTTCGTGTGTATATATATAAATATTATTTTACGGATATTAAATCGATTGTGGTTCATTATCTCCAACACAATCATTATGTGATGAGTGCAAATTGGGATCTCAAGATACCATCTGGCCCTCACTAATTGTTACTCTGTGAATAGCAAAAGGTCTTATCTGCGTTAGATAATAAAATCCAATAGGTTCTAAGCTGCTTAAGTTTGAGTATTTATAAACTACAATGTATATTCATTATTTAATAATGTACACAATCTACGGTTAAATGATATATCATGTTTGTACACCAATAATAAAAATAAACATTGGGAAGTGTCACTCAGACTAATGGGATAATACTATAAGTAGAGGGCCTTGCTCTCTTGTGTGTTTGAAAGCCTTGGCGGAACTTGTCAGTCATTGCTTGTCATCCCAAATCAATCAACTGTAAATCTTCTTGAATTGTGGTTTATCAGCATACTTAAATTCCTTATTGTGTCTGTGGTCCACTGATTTGAATGCAGGATACATATCTGATATCTGAATATCTAATACTTATCTAGCCCGAGCTAACCATGTTTACAATTTATTTTTGTAGGAAGAAGAAGAGACAAAACCTGTGATTGCAAAAACTGATCCCAGAGAAATTCAAAAATTTTACCAGAACTTCTATGAGAAAAATATTAGAGATGGCCAACAAACAAGGAAACCGTGAGGCTTTCTCATAATTTCTTTTGCAGCTTTGTCTCTCATTATAATCTAATTTCCTAGTTTTTTTATTTATTTAAAAAATTCCTTACTTTCTATTGCAGAGAAGAGATGTCTAAGATATATCAAATTGCAAGTGTGTTGTATGATGTGCTAAGAACAGTGGTTCCACCTTCGAAAGTGGATGAACAGGTTTGATCTATTTACTTTGAAATCTTTTGGATATATTCCACCTATGAGTTTGGTGAACTCCGTACTTATTTTTGCATCATAATTGTAGACACAAAGGTATGCCAAAGATGTAGAGGAGAAAAGAGAATACTATGAGCACAATAACATTCTACATACTGTTGGAGTTAAACCTGTGATAATGGAACTTTCTGAGGTAATTTGTAGTTGGATTGTATGCATACTTGTTAGAATATGTGGCTCAAATTGTGCATGAAGACCACTCATCCATGAAGACATTTTCTTTCTCCACGTTGCCTAACTTCATACATGTTCTTGCCGAAATAGATGTCCCCTCCAACATGCCGCATTTCTCTCTAAATTTCATTGTATAATTTTCTTAGGAGATTGTGGCTCTTGATACCATGTGAGGGAATGAACAATATGTTTATTGATGTAAAACAGCTAACTACAAATAGTACACAAGTGAGAGTAGATAGCAGGGAGTTACAACTACTAGTCTAATAAAGCTATTCTACAGGAGTATAATTAGAACAGAGATAAACTTACTCAACCACTTATATCCTTAACAGGTAGACCCCACCACCAGCGAAGACGAGAACACCCTTGACAGTGAGCTCGTCCCTTCCTCCTTGGCTTCCATTGCTCCCATCCTCCATGTGGCCAACGAAATCGAGATAGAAAATAGAAGAGTTGCTTATTTATGTAAGTATCATTTCTTTTTGTATTTCAATTGCTCAAATCAACAGTTATCTTTTAGTCTCTGTGTATGCAAGTAAAGCTTGTGATTATATATCTAATAACTGCAAATGCTCAAGTCTTTAAAGTGGCTTGTAATTTTGGGTCAAACTTTTTAACTTTTTGTAATCTACATCAAAATTTGAATTTTCATTGAAAAATTTAGCCAATTCCCAAGTTTGGCAATTGGATAAATGAGAAACTGAAAGTTTTTGACTTAAATTGAAATTAGTCACAAGTTTTGCTTTTCCCAAAACACCATTTCTTATTTGTCTTAACTACCTTTTTCTTGAACTATGCCAGAAGAATTTGCATTTGCCCTGTTGGCACTTTGAAAGACATGGTATTTGATGTAAAATTTGGAAATCAATTAAATGAGAATGTACCGTGATGAGATTAATTTGGATTGTTGATGCATAAGAAAAATTAAATAAAATATTAGTTTAACTTGTTTGTTGACAATAATTTAAATAATATGTCACTTTCACTTCTTCATAAGTGAGTTTAGGTGGATGGAGTGGTTTTTTTTTTTTTTAATGTTATGGATATTCTTTTCTTCTTTAACTGAATTTTTATTTCTGAAAAGGCCGATTTCATGCATATGAGATGGCTCATAGGATGGATCCAACATCAAGCAGACGTGGTGTTCGTCAGTTCAAGACTTACCTGCTACAGAGACTTGAAAGGGTATACCCATTATGTTCAATTTTATGTTTGTCTCTTTATGCATCTATTATGTTCTTTATTTGTATATATTTTCCACTTTCTGCTCTACAAATTCCATATATTTTAAATTTCATAACTAATTTTATGGCAAAATGTAATTATGTTGTCTCAAAATTACTAAATCATCCTAGATTACCAAAATCATTATGTGGTGAGTGCAAATTGGGATCTCGAGAGACCATCTGGCCCTCACATATTGTTACTCTATGAATAGCAATAGGCGTTATCTGCGTTAGATAGTAGAATCCAATAGGTTCTAAGCTGCTGAAGTTTGAGTATTTATAAAACACAATGTATATTCATTATTCAATAATGTACACAATCTGTGGTTAAAGTATATATCATGTTTGTACACCAATAATAAAATAAACATTGGCACGTGTCACTCAGACATGTGGGATGATACTATAAGTAGAGGGCCTTACTCTCTTGTGTGTTTGAAAGCCTTGGCGGAACTTGTCAGTCATTGCCTGTCATCCCAAATCAATCTACTGTAAATCTTCTTGGATTGTGGTTTATCAGCAATAATTAAATTCTTTATTGTGTCTGTGGTCCACTGATTTGAATGATGGATACCTATCTTATATCTGAATATCTAATACCTATCTAGTAAGCCTAAGCTAACCATGTTGACAAATTATTTTTGTAGGAAGAAGAAGAAACAAAACCTATGCTTGCAAAAACTGATCCCAGAGAAATTCAAAGATTTTACCAGAACTTCTATGAGAAAAATATCAGAGATGGCCAACAAACAAAAGAACCGTGAGGCTTGCTCAGAATTTCTTCTGCAGCTTTGTCTCTCATTCTAATCTAATTTCCTAGTTTTTTTTTTTTAAAAAAAAAAAATTCCTTACTTTCTATTGCAGAGAAGAGATGGCTAAGATATATCAAATTGCAAGTGTGTTGTATGATGCGCTAAGAACAGTGGTGCTACCTTCAAAAGTGGATGAACAGGTTTGATCTATTTACTTTGCAATCTTTTGGATATATTCCACCTATAAGTTAGGTGAACTCCGTACTTATTTTTGCATCATACTTGTAGACACAAAGGTATGCCAAAGATGTAGAGGAGAAAACAGAATACTATGAGCACAATAAAATTCTCCCTACTCTTGGAGTTAAACCTCTGATAATGGAACTTTCTGAGGTAATTTGTAGGTGGATTGTAAGCATACTTGTTAGAATATGTGAGGTCATTTGTAGGTGGATTGTAAGCATACTTGTTAGAATATGTGGCTCAAAATGTGCTTGAAGACCACTCATCCATGAAGACATTTTCTTTTTTCACGTTGTCTGACTTCTTACATGTTCTCGCCGAAATAGATGTTGCTCCTCCAACATGCCGCATTTCTCTCTAAATTTTATTGTATAATTCTCTTAGGAGATTGTGGCTCTTGATACCATGTGAGGGAATGAACAATATGTTTATTTGATGTAAAACAGCTAACTATAAATAGTACACAAGTGAGAGTAAATAGCAGGGAGTTACAACTACTTGTCTAATAAAGCTATTCTACCGGAGTATAATTAGAACAGAGATAGACTGAGTCAACCACTTATATCTTTAACAGATAGACCCAACCGCCGGGGAAGATGAGAACACCCCTGACAGTGAGCTCGTCCCTTCCTCCTTGGCTTCCATTGCTCCCATCCTCCGTGTGGCCCACGAAACTGAGAAAGAAAATAGAAGAGTTGCTTATTTATGTAAGTATCATTTCTTTTTGTATTTCAATTCTCAAATCAACCGTTATCCTTTAGTCTCTATGTATGCAAGTAAAGCTTGTGATTATATTTCTAATAACTGCAAATGCTCAAGTCTTTAAAGTGGCTTGTAATTTTAAATCAAACTTTTTAACTTTTTGTAATCTACATCAAAATTTAAATTTTCATTGCAAAATTTAGCTAATTCCCAATTTTGGCAATTGGATAAAAGAGAAACTGAAAGTTTTTGACTTGTAATTAGTCACAAGTTTTGCTTTTCCCAAAACACCATTTCTTATTTGTCTTAACTACCTTTTTCTTGAACTATGCTAGAAGAATTTGCATTTGCCCTGTTGGCACTTTGAAAGACATGGTATTTGATATAAAATTTGAAAATCAATTAAATGAGAATTTATCGCGATGAGATTATTTTGGATTGTTGATGCATATATAAGAAAAAATAAATAAAATTTTAGTTTAACTTGTTTGTTGACAAAAAATTAAATAATGTGCCACTTTCACTTCTTCATAAGTGAGTTTAGGTGGATGGAGTGGTTTTTTTTTTTTTTCTAATGTTATAGATATATTTTTTTCTTTAACTGAATTTTTATTTCGGAAAAAGGCCGATTTCATGCATATGAGATGGCTCATAGGATGGATCCAACATCAAGCAGACGTGGTGTTCGTCAGTTCAAGACTTACCTGCTACAGAGACTTGAAAGGGTATACCCATTATGTTCAATTTTATGTTTGTCTCTTTATGCATCTATTATGTTCTTTATTTGTATATATTTTCCATTTTCTGCTCTACAAATTCCATATATTTTAAATTTCTTAACTAATTTAATAGCAACACCTGATTATGTTGTCTCAAATTTACTAAATCTTCCTAGATTACCAAAATCATTATGTGATGAGTGCAAATTGGGACCTCAAGAGACCATCTGGCCCTCTGTGAATAGCAAAAGGCTTATCTGTGTTAGATAGTTGAATCCAATAGGTGCTAAGCTTCTAAAGTTTTAGTATTTATAAATTAAAATGTATATTCATTATTCAATAATGTACACTATCTGTGGTTAAAGTATACATCATGTTTGTACACCAATAATAAAAATAAACATTGGCAAGTGTCACTCAGACTAGTGGGATGATACTATAAGTAGAGGGCCTTACTCTCTTGTGTGTTTGAAAGCCTTGGTGGAACTTGTCAGTCATTGCATGTCATCCCAATTCAATCTACTGTAAATCTTCTTGAAATGTGATTTATCAACATAATTAAATTCCTCATTGTGTCTATGGTTCACTGATTTGAATGCTGGATACATATCTGATATCTGAATATCTAATACCTATCTAGTAAGCCCGAGCTGTCAATGTTGACAATTTATTTTTGTAGGAAGAAGAAGAGACAAAACCTGTCCTTGCAAAAACTGATCCCAGAGAAATTCAAAAATTTTACCAGAACTTCTATGAGAAAAATATCCGAGATATCCAACAAACAAAGAAACCGTGAGGCTTGCTCTAAATTTCTTTTGCAGCTTTGTCTCTCATTCTAATCAAATTTCCTAGATTTTTTTATTTATTTAAAAAATTCCTTACTTTCTATTGCAGGGAAGAGATGTCTAAGATATATCAAATTGCAAGTGTGTTGTATGATGTGCTAAGAACAGTGGTGCCACCTACAAAAGTGGATGAACAGGTTTGATCTATTTACTTTGCAATCTTTTGGATATATTCCACCTATGAGTTTGGTGAACTCCGTACTTATTTTTGCATCATACTTGTAGACACAAAGGTATGCCAAAGATGTAGAGGATAAAAGAGAATACTTTGAGCACAATAACATTCTCCCTACTGTTGGAGTTAAACCTGTGATAATGGAACTTTCTGAGGTAATTTGTAGTTGGATTGTAAGCATACTTGTTAGAATATGTGGCTCAAATTGTGCATGAAGACCACTCATCCATGATGACATTTTCTTTCTCCACGTTGTCTGACTTCTTACATGTTCTCGCTGAAATAGATGTTGTTCCTCCAACATGTCGCATTTCTCTATAAATTTCATTGTATAATTCTCTTAGGAGATTGTGGCTCATGATACCATGTGAGGGAATGAACAATATGTTTATTGATGTAAAACAGCTAGTTATAAATAGTACACAAGTGAGAGTAGATAGCAGGGAGTTACAACTACTAGTCTAATAAAGCTATTGTACAGGAGTATAATTAGAACTAAGATAGACTGAGTCAACCACTTGTATCCTTAACACGCCCCCGCAAGATTGAGGATCCGTCGAAACTCCAATCTTGCACCGAAAATGAAGGAAAAGGTGACGTCCCAGGGGATTGGTGAGGAGATCGGCTAACTGAGCGGAGGATGGAATATGTTGAACAACTAGCGCACCACTAGTAACTTGATCCCGTACAAAAAAAGTAGTCCAAAGCCAAGTGTTTCATACGTGAGTGAAACACTGGATTTTTACAGACGTAGGTGGCATTGAGGTTATCACAAAGTAGAACCAGGGTCTGTACTAAACTCAGCTTGACCTCCTGGAGCAAATTTTTAATCTAGAAGACCTCAGCAGCTGCATTAGCCAATGCCCAGTACTCAGTTTCTGTTGACGAACGAGAAATAGACTTCTACCGCGATGACTTCCAAGAAATAAGGTTGTCGCCTAGATACACCAAGTACGCCGTAGTCGAGCGTCCAGCAGTGTTGCATCCGCCCCAATCGGAGTCGGTATATACACGCAACCTCAAAGCTTGTCCAACGCGAAGGAGTATGTCGTGACAAATAATCCCTTTGAGATAGCGAAGCAGACGTTTAGCAGCTTGCCAATGTAGCTCCGAAGGCGCATGCATGAACTGTGAGAGTCGATTGACCGTAAACGTCACATCTGGCCGGGTAATCACTAGGTACTGCATGAGACCTAGCAAGCGGCGAAATTGCGTAGCATCCGTCGCAGGATCAGGTGACTACAGAGGTACTAACTTTTCTGAAACAGCTAGTGGTGTTGAAACATCCTTTGCACCATCCATTTTGAACTGTGTGAGTATATCAGTTATATACTGGCTTTGTGACAGGAACACACCATCACCAGTGGAGATGACCTCGACACCCAATAAATGGTGGAGTGTATCGAGATCCTTCAGAGCAAACTGCGCTGATAGAGTTTCCACAAAACGATCAAGCCATGTGACATTATTGCCTGTTAACAAAATGTCATCTACGTAGACTAAGAAATAAACAATCACACAATGAGATGAATAAATGAACAGTGAAGCATCTGCTTGGGACTTAGTGAACCCACAACGCTGCAAAAACAACTAGAGCTCCTGGTACCAGGCTTTGGGAGGCTGTTTAAGGCCATACAGAGCTTTAGTTAACTTGCAAACATGGTTAGGGTATAAGGGATCAACATATCTGGGCAGCTGCTCCATATATACTTTCTCATGCAGTGTGCCATGCAGGAAAGCGTTATTGATATCCAATTGGCGCAAACTCCAGCGGTTACTTAATGCAATGGTCAAGACCAATCGGATAGTGACCGGTTTCATAACCGGGCTATATGTTTCGAAGAAATCGCGCCCAGCTGTCTGTAAGAACCCTTTGGCCACAAGGCGTGCCTTGTAACGATCAACTGAGCCATCTTATTTGTGTTTCACCCGATAAACCCATTTACAGCCAATTGGAACACCATCACCACGCGGGACAAGCGACCACGTATTATTGCGGTGCAAAGCTTCGAACTCCTCGTCCATGGCTTTCCTCCTCCTAGCGTCTTTGAGGGCCTGAGCTACGGTAGAGGGTTCTAAGGTCGGAGGCAAGGGTTGGGCTGTGGTGAAGTTGACAACGTAATCAGAGTTCCTGGGATTAGGGCGACGAGACCTGGTAGACCGGCGCAAACCAGCTTGCGGTTGAAGAGATTCAAAGGAGGATACTGGTTGAGAAACTTCAGAGGTGGCGAGTGGACGGGAAGTCGAGGGTTCATCGTGCGGGTGAACGTTGGTAGTAACAGGAGGGGACGAATAGCTCGGAGGAGACGGGGGCTGTGACGAAGCCGGAGAGGAATGCTGACCAGCGGTCACACTGAGTTCGCCGGACTGCCCAGACGTCAAGGCAGTTTGCGGCGTCGGAAGTCCTGGCGAAACTGACGCGAACAGCGGCAAAACTGACGCGGGTGGTGAGGAAGAAGAGGGCGATTCTAAAGACATCAGCTCAAGAGAGGATACCAGCAACTTGAGTAGAATTTGTGGCAAGGCAGGAGATTGAACCCCAGCAGTCATATCTGAGTTAACCTATAACTCCCTGGCAGGAAACACATGAGAAACAAAGCGTACATGTCTTGATAGATATACCCGATTCGAGACATAATCGAGGCATTTATAAGTTGATTGTGCGTTTGAATATTCCAAAAAAATACACGGGCGCGACCTTGGTTCTAGTTTTTTGTATTATAGGGACGTAACCAGGGGAAACACAAACAGCCAAAGGATTGTAGCTTATCATAATTTGGTAACTGGTTAAACAAAACATGATAGGGAGATTTATTACCTGAAACTGGTGTCGGGGCCGATTAATGAGATAGGCTACTGTTTGAAAGGCATAAGACCAATATGAAGACGCCATAGAGGCAGCATGAAGAAGTGACACTCCAGTTTCGACCACATGCCTGTGTCATCGTTCAGCCATGCCATTGTGCTCGGGAGTATGAGGGGAAGTAGTAAAATGTGAAATACCATGAGTGTTAAACATCGGTATTAATTTAACAAACTCTCCTCCATTATCAGAATAAACAGAGATAATTGACCGATTGAAGGACTTTTCTACTAACCTTTTGAACTGGGGAAATACGTCAAACACATTGGACTTGCATTTTAAGAGATATAACCTGATATAATGATCGACAAAAATTACATAATAAGCAAACCCATCAATCGATTTTTCGGAAGTACCCCATACATCAGTGTAGATTAATTGGAGAGGCCTAGAACTAATAAGAGTGCTTTTTGAAAAGGGTAACTTGTGACTCTTGTATACATTTCACGACTGACAATAAAATTTATTTAACGAGGACAAAGGAATCGGAACATTGCAATGTTGCAACATCAGATGTAACACCTTTTTGGACGAAGAAGAGACAAAACATGTGCTTGCAAAAACTGATCCCAGAGAAATTCAAAAATTTTACCAGAACTTCGATGAGAAAAATATCAGAGATGTCCAACAAACAAAAAAATCGTAAGGCTTGCTCAGAATTTCTTTTGCAGCTTTGTCTCTCATTCTAATATAATTTTCCTAGTTTTTTTTTATTTATTTAAAAAATTTCTTACTTTCTATTGCAGAGAAGAGATGTCTAAGATATATCAAATTGCAAATGTGTTGCATGATGCGTTAAGAACTGTGGTGCCACCTTCAAAAGTGGATGAACAAGTTTGATCTATTTACTTTGCAATCTTTTGGATATATTCCACCGATGAACTCCGTACTTATTTTTGCATCATACATGTAGACACAAAGGTATGCCAAAGATGTAGAGGAGAAAAGAGAATACTATGAGCACTATAACAATCTCCCTCTTAAGTAATTGGTGGAATATAAGGTTCTTTCTTCTTGCTCCCTATGTAACTTAATGTTTCATATTTATCTAAATATACTTGTTTGTACCTATAAATATATATATATATATATATATATATATATATATATATATATATATTAATATGAGTGGTATTGAAAGATCTCAATTAGATATTTTTTATACTTTTGAAAAAAGAATGTATAAAAAAAAAATAAAGATATATTTGGGTGCATGTAACAACGTACACCTTGGTCCATAATATAACTATGGTGGAGCCCCACAATCTATTTTCATTTACGCACACATAAAACATCAACCGCTATTTAAAAGTATGATTTGGTAAAATCCCCATTATGATCCTAGTTGGCAATGGTAAATATTCTTAAGTTATTCATAACTAATAGACTCTAATAAAGAAAGCCAATAAACAACTCTCATGAAAAATCAAACTTGGAACCCTATGACAAACTTAGTTATGGTTATCCCATAACTATTAGATCTCTAAGGACCATGATACCATAAATTATACTCCGTATATAACAGTAACAACAATGATGATGAATGAACAGCCATAATTTGCAGGATATACAAACAATGCCTCCATCTGCAAAACATGTTTCGGAGAACAGGAAAACCGTATACAAGTAATCTACTCAAAATCACAAAAGACAATCCTCAAAACACATTTGTACAATCAAAGAACCAATCTTTCCCAATCTGCGCTATTCGGGCAGCTACCTGCCAATCTGCCAGTGCCATGATTGAATCGTAAAGTTGGCTACCATCACTTCAGTCAAACATAAACAAAATATGAATCTTACTGTCAGCCAAATAGTTGCCAGATCACAAGCATGCGCCCATCCGTTGTCCTATCCATGAATTATCAGAGATGTATCTGATTTTCCTACCCCACTTTCCACGTCAACTGATTGGGAGCTGCTACTGTCCTTTGTAGATTCGATTTCAATGCTAGCTGTTCGGCTTCTGTTTCTGCGATCCTGAAATTTTCACAAGAACTTCAAATAATTTGGTGCATTCTTCAAATAATTACTTTTAACAGCTTAAAGTCTCTACCCCCATTTAGGGTAGGTGTAACCTTTTGGATTTGTGTTCATTAAGAGTAAATACCAAAGAGTTGTTGATTTGAAAGTTGAGAACTAAAAAGTGCCACCCTAGTGGGAGGGCGCTGGTATTTACCCGTAGTATTAACAAGGAAAGTGAAAAAGCTTAAATTTGAGTCTATAAATGGACCAATGTAATGCATGTGCACCTCACGATAAGGGAACTCATCTGCTTCCAGTATTTGAGCAACTTGACTCATTTTAGGCCGTTTTTCTGAGTCAGGGTCAACACATCTAAGCGCCACCAGGAGTGCATGTTTCAAAGAACGAGTACTGGGCTTAACTTCGAGGTTAGGATCCACGACTTCCTCAGCTCTCCGGTTACCAACCATCGTTTTTAGCCACTCAACAAGATTGACCTGCAATGTACACACATTCTTTATTAAAGAGAATTGGTGGAAACCAGCTTGGTTGGTGATAGAATAATTACGGAGCGGACCTGGAGTGAAGAAATATGGAGCGGATCACACCTGGCACCGAGTGGACTACGCACGCGGCCGGACAGACCATGGAGGGGTCTACCTCTCCGGGGTCCTCAACTACTATCACGGGGTCCTCGGCTACTATCACGGGGTCCCCGGCTACTATCATGGGGTCCTCGGCTACTGTGCACACGGAGTGACGAACCACCCCGGGGTCGGCCAACATGGGCTCGGCACCTCGGGGTCGGCCTACGTAGGCTCGGCCACCACGGGGTCGGCCGGCGCACCCCGGGTCGACCTACGCGGGGTCGGCCATCCTTTGGGGTCGGCTCGGCCGGGATGGGATCCCCTCGTAGTCCGAGTAGTGCGGTGGCAGTTGCGACTCCTCCCGCGTACCCCGGGCCACGCTTTAGACCCGGTTCTGAGCTAGGACGCGGTCAAAGCGCCAGATCCAACCATCCCCCGATTTAGGGGGAGCGGTTAGAGGTTTGTAGCATATAAAAATCCCTCCCTTTGTCCTAACAAGGGACACTTGATTCCTATCTCATACGTTCTTACAACATTTGTACTGTTATTACACTTCCCGAACCTCTGTAACAGCATTTTATGTCCAATTAATACAATATTTACCGCTTTATTATTCGTTCATCATATTCAAACATATATTCGGGTTGTATAATCCGGACTCCCGGGTTCATATAATCCATCATTGGCCATCAAGTCCGGATTGAACATCATACGTTCCGGACTTGATGACCAATGATGGATTATATGAACCCGGGGGTCCGGATTATACAACCCGAATATATGTTTGAATATGATGAACGAATAATAAAGCGGTAAATATTGTATTAATTGGACATAAAATGCTGTTACAGAGGTTCGGGAAGTGTAATAACAGTACAAATGTTGTAAGAACGTATGAGATAGGAATCAAGTGTCTCGTTAGGACAAGGGGAGGGGTTTTTATATGCTACAAACCTCTGACCGCTCCCCCTAAACCGGGGGATGGTTGGATCTGGCGCTTTGACCGCGTCCTAGCTCAGGACCGAGTTCAAAGCGTGGCCCGGGGTACGCGGGAGGAGTCGCAACTGCCACCGCACGACTCGGACAACGCGGGGACCCCGTCCCGGCCGAGCCGACCCCGCGTAGGCCGACCCGGGGTGCGCCGGCCGACCCTGTGGTGACCGAGCCTACGTAGGCCGACCCCGGGGTACTGAGCCCATGTTGGCCGACCCCGGGGTGGTTCGTCACTCCGTGTGCACAGTAACAGGGGACCCCGTGATAGTAGCCGAGGACCCCGTGGTAGTAGTTGAGGACCTCGGGGAGGTAGACCCTCCATGTTTTGTCCGGCCGCGTGCGTAGTCCACTCGGTGCCGGGTTCGCTCCAGGTCTGCTCCGTAATTATTTCATCATCCGCCACAAAAGGAATATTCTCCGCGCTGCTTCCTGCCGCCGCCTCTCCCGCAGAAGCACTACTCTTTCTAGAAGATTCCTCCTGCTGCTGATGATGATGATCCGCCGGAGTGCAGACAACCTCGGACGAAGAGCAAGACATCCCAAAAGCGTTGGAGTGAGAGTGGTAATCCATGGAGCCTTGTAAGCTCTCGGTGAAACTCATGAACGGAGAAGGAAGGAATTCTTGGTGAAGGAGATTCTGTGTCGGAGCAGACGGCGGGTGATGATCGGAGGAAGCGTAGATAGAAGAAGGGTTGTGGTCGGCGTGATCATCGCCGAAGAAAGGGAATGTGTTGATCCTTCCACTTCCCATGTGATTATGGTAATAGAATGGGTTATCAGACATGGAGAAAAACCAACAACAACGTTGTACTGATCTCTCTCTAGGCAGACTCGAAAATCAAAAAAGGGAATCTGAACTCTCTTTCTGCTGAGAAAGGAATGAATTTTGAAGCTTTCTTGGATCTTGAACCAAAGAGAAGATAAAGGGGGATTGGGATCGGTGATGTTTTCCTCAGAGATTGGGAAAAACAGCAAAAACCAGTTGATAGTAGAGATTCATGGAGATGGATCCGAGGTTCTTGAAGCTAAGTGAGAGTTGAATTGGTAAGTGAATATGAACAAGATCTTATTTTCTTTTCGTAGGGGGTAGTGGGTTTTGGGATAGCTTTTTTATTGCTTTTTAGGGAGATGGGAAGTGCTTGGTTGTTTTAGGTTATGATCAATGACTAAAATGTGTAGTCAAAATTATGTATTTTTCAAAATGTGTTTGACTTTTTTTTTTTTTGATAAAAATATGAAAAACTATACTGCCACTCGCGTTTTAGGTGTGTCCCAGCTGTCAACGTCAACTTTTTTTTTTTTCCAAATTTTCTTAAAACGCAAGACTTACATGCGTTTTAGGTATACCTATGCTATACAATACCATGCTGCAAAACGCATCTGCCAGTTGCGTTTTACATATAATACGTAAAACGCAATTGCCAGATGCGTTTATGGTTTTTGTACGTCAATCCTAAATATTGAAGATTAACTACACTGAATTATGTTTTAATGCCCTTGCTTAATTCATGAAGTGATAAGGGTGTTGGATTTGCTGAAACTTGCGGCGAAGCACAAGATTGCAACGCCGGTGAACTGCGTTTTGTGGTATACGGTCGCCGGAGGCCGGTGGCGTACGAATAAGGAATAATGCCATAGCCAAACTCAGAGTCCTCAAATATAAGAACAACCTGTCTCCACTTGAAGGATTCCACTATGGCTGCAATTGCACCCACCTCGCATCATCGCTTAGGCCAGTTTGAACAAAGTAAGGGGAGCCAGGGCGAAGGGAAGGACTGGTTGCTGAGAAAGAGATTACTGGCACTTTTGCTATGCCTCCAAGATCCGTCACAAAGTTACCTTGTGCTGATTTTTGAGGTCCAATTATTGCATCAACCTTTGCATCTTTCAGCAACTCCAGACCTGTTTTCATATGCCCAAAAAAAAATAAAAAAACCCATGATGATAGTGGTCACTAACCTAATATATATACAATAAATAAATACTTATAAAAATGAAACAGATAGGAGTATCTGCATAGACTGCATCTTTTGGAACATACAGATAAGCTATTTAATCAGAATCAATCATTTCAGATACAAGTGGATCATGGGATTTACAAGAGTTTTAATTCACAAGTATATTCATATAAACATGCATAGAAGATTTAGACAGTTTGCAGAACAAGGAGACACGGAAACAACTGGTACCAGAAGATGCGGCGGTGAGAGTTTGGTCCTTTGAGTCTCTAAAATGGAGAACCAGCCTGGTTGAGTAGTTGGAATGAACTGAGTAGAAATCAGAACGTGCAATTGAGAGGAAACTTCTCCCTATTCTTCCTATCAATGAATCTGAATCAAGAATCACCCCAACTTGGAGTTCCCTGAAACTTGCGGCAAGAGGGTGACGCAATTCGCTGAAACATAAACCGGCCGGAACATGGATGAATTGAAGTGGTAAGGGTGTTGGATTCGCTGAAACTTGCGGCGAAGCACAAGATTGCGACGCCGGTGAACTGTGTTTTGTGGTATACGAGGCCGGTGACGTACAAAAACCATAAATCCATCTGGCAATTGCGTTTTACGTATTATACGTAAAACGCATCTGGCAGATGCGTTTTGCAGTATGGTATTGTATAGCATAGATATACCTAAAACGCATTTGAGAAATGCGTTTTAGGTATACGATACCTAAACAGCATGTAAGTCTTGCGTTTTAAGAAAATTTGGAAAAAAAAAAAAAAAAAAAGTTGACGTTGACAGCTGGGCACACCTAAAACGCAAGTGGCAGTATAATTTTTCATATTTTTGTCAAAAAAAAAAAGTCAAACACATTTTGAGAAATACATGATTTTGACTACACATTTTAGTCATTGATCCTTTAGGTTACTTAGCTTGAATAGTTTAGAAAGACTTTGAGAGAGAGAGAGAAGGGTGATGGTCCTTGTTGGAGGGGAGAATATAATTTTGGGCTACTCAAGAAGCTAGATAGATTAATAAACAGCATTTTCCACCTCAAAATTACAATATTATTTTTTAAAAATTATTAGAGATAACAGCATTTTGTTAGTCCCTTGATTATTTCTTATTTAGAAATGTGATCCTTCAATTCCTAAGTCAACAAATGTGATCCTGTAATTTTTGCTAAATTTGTCAATTTGACCCCTCCACCTAATGAAATTAACTAACCAATTCAACAATATTGATCATTTGAGCAAAATTAATAGATCACTTATTTATTGTTATTATTATTATTAAGAAAATGTTTCCCACGGCTATAATTACCCCTCCCTATTGGTCTTGAATTTTTTTTTAAAACTATTTATTTTCATGAAATTCAATCCTGAGTTAATAAGGAATCTAATATCCCACGAAAAGATAACGATTTTGTTTGGTAACATAATTAATTTATAAGTGAATTTTGGCTTATTTGACCAGTATTAGTTGTTTGACTTGGTTAAACAATCAATATGAGTGTTTGATTAATTAGCTTTTTATAACAACTTATTGTTCCAAAATGTTAAAATTCAAAAAAACTGCTCAATGTAGCTTTTTCAATAAGTTTTTTGAGAAAGTCATTTTGTGTGTAATCAACTATAAGCTAACAGCTAATTTACCAAACACTTTTCTACAATAAGCTAATGCTATCAACTAGTCAAAAACTAACCCAATCATCTAACAGCTATCAACTAACAACTATTTACTAAACACCCCTACACTTCAAGAAATGATAATTATAGGGGTTTCTAGCATATTATTAGCTATTATTATTAGCAAAGAGACATCAAAGAGTGCCTTTAAATAAAGCATACCATAGAAGTCATGTGAAAAAATCTTAATGAGATTTGAAGAATTTCCACACAAGAAACTGTCTTAATCAAACCGGTGTCTTTTTTCTTTTTTTGCAGAAAAAAAAATAAAAATAAAATGGCTGCGAGGGAATAACCATCAAATTATTGTTTTTTTAAAATAAAGAATATAGTGGCATAAAATAAATGTGTTAGGCACCATATATGTCTATCACCTGCCAATTTTTTTAGTAATTAAAGGCCATATAGTCACCTACTTACACAATCAACGGCGTAAGGCATGAAATCTCTATAGCAGCACATCTTTTAATCTCAATTTAAATTTCACGTTTATATCACAAAGAAATATCACTGAAGTTTTACAAGAAAATAAAATTTTTTTTTTTTTTGAATGCTACTACCTCTATTACATTGTAGTATCTGTTCATATACTTTCTCAACCTACTGAAACACAAAGAGCCAATAACGCCTCCACTGAGGCTCGAAATCACAACCTTCCACTTGGAAGTCCACCCCGGATACCATTAGACCACATAGTCCTGGTTACAAGAAAATAAAATATAATTTAACATAAATAAAACTTTTTGTAAATAAATAAATATTTTTCTACATTTTTTTAGTCGGATCGCAAGTTTCCTCATATATGTTAAGATCTCTTTAAGGGTGACAATATTATCTCATAAATTTTAAGATAATTGCATTCTTATAGTTTGAACATGGCTAAATAGTATAATTTACAATCAATCAATCATTATATCATGGACTAAGGTGCATATTACTACATGCACCAAGTCATCCTGTGATTCCTATCGTTTTTCTCTTTAAACTTATTTCTCTTTTTCATTTTTTTTACAAATAAAATTATTGTATAAAAAGTATATCATAAAAAATTATAATTAAGATATTTTTAATGACACTAATATTGATTTGTTTTTTTTTTAATATTAATAAATTCACATGTACATAAAATCATTATTTTAAGTACAAAAATCACTATTGCAAGTTCATCACAAAATATTAAACGATATGATATATTGAAAAAAAAAAAGAATATATATATATATATATATATATATATATATATATATATATATATATATATATATATATAGTTTTCATTTAAAATATCTCAACACAAGATATTTTTAAAGAGATTTTTATATATTTATTTTATTTATACAAAATAAAATAAAAAAATAATATATTTAAGTGATAATTGATCAATTGGTACCATTTTTACTAATTTATAGTATTATTTTTTATGTATCTTAATTAATTTTTTATGTACATATAATATTATTTCTTTAAGTACATAGGTGATAGGTCCATGATATAATTTGGTACCAAAGGAAAGTACTTGGTGTACTCCCATCTTAAACTCTCAACTTGTACTCCCTCTCATATGCTTTTGATGTAGATACTTTTCAGTGGACGCACATGATGAAAATAACCAATCTTGATTTGCCACCTCAGGGAGTATAAATAATGGAGTAAATTTTAGGAGTCTATATAGTAGAACTCTTTACCAAATAGCTCATTATATATCATTTCAAGTTTGTGATGTGTCATAACCTTACATATTTGCTACTCGTAAATAGAATGTTTAATTTACATCCTCATCGCGACTTAATGTCTCTATAAATAAATTAATTAAACTTTATTAAAAATAAAAATGGTTGGAATTTATGAATAAAAGAAAACCTTGAAATAATTAATATGCATTTTGGAAAATTAAAATCTTATTACAAAACAAAGTTGTGGAAGAGGTGCACCGTTGGAAAATGATTAATATGCATTTTGGAAGAGAAACACATGCAGCATTCTTGGTATGAGTCGATCAATTATGAAAAACTTAGACTGATTTATCTCTTTTTGATTTTTTACTGGTTAAGATTACAAAGCAGAGTTTATTCAATACATATCCTCGAATAGTAAGTGTGAGTTTAATTTCCTCATGACTGAAACACATGCAGCAGCTTTGCTGGAGAGTGGAAGTCAAAGGATTCCAAGGTGGATACGAGGCTGTTAATTGTGATAGAGAGATAATTGAAGGAAGGACCGGAGGCTCTCTCCCACGTGTCCGGAGACCGGCACCAGCATTTGACCCTAGC